AAGATAGGCTATACATGGCGGCCAGTATAAATGGCGAAGAACCAGGGAAAACCCCAGAAAGAACCACCGACTCACGAGAAGCTACCGGCAAGCTTTCTCAAGTACCCACATTAGCTGAGCCTGAGACTCGAACCCACGCAGACAGAGGTGAGATGGCAGTGATCCGTAACGGCGAGCGCTTTAGACCACTCGGCCACTCAGGGCCCTCGTTGTACGATTTAGAAGCTTAGACCAACGACGTGTACGAGTCAAGCTATCTAAGCATGCATTAAGGTTTAGAAACAAATATATTTCTCTGCAGGATTGACAAGTTGTTGTTAGTTTAGCGCCGTATTTCAGCACACGATAGGCTATACAAGTCGGCCAGTATAACTGGTGGATGAAGAACCAGGGAAACCCGGTAAGAATCACAGACCCATGGGAAGCCAGTGTCGAGCTTTCTCATATACACAGACCGAAACTAGAACCCACACGGAGAGAGGTGTTATGGTAGTAATCGGTCAAGGCGAAAACTTTAGACCACTCTGCAACTCAGAGCCTTTTGGGTTGGTCAGCGAACGGGATTTAATATTCTGGCCATAAAATGTGTTCAACATATACTTTCAAACTCTTAGACGTATTTCTGATTTTGTCTCCTAAGCTAGCTGTCATAGTTGCCGTGCTTCTAAAAATCCCACCTCTCCTTAAAGCCTTTTAACCAAAGCCTTCAAAGACTCTTACGCTTTTAAATAATGACTAAATTTAGCTAAAGTTTTTTTTTTTGAATTTACAGTGCAAATATATTATTTTTAAATAAAAAAGATCCGCAGCCACCTGAATTTGCTGCCCTTGGCAGCGACCTTTATTTGCCTAATGGAAAATCTGCCACTGATTGCTTTTTAGTTGCTTATACATTATCACTTGCAGGAGAGTTTGTTATTACTGTATGGAAAACAGAGCACAAAGTGGAAGAGATTGCAAAACCATTGATGATTTGTGATGCATACTGGCTACAAACAAGGACAAATCGGCTTCTAAGATGTCACCAACTAGAGATGCATTGAAATACGATAGTGTGCGCTGTCATGACAAGGTTCGAGTATGGTGAAACAGTCATGTTGCTAAATAAACTTATCCAAACCCCACAAGTTGTGATTTGATTGTTGGAGGTAGAGATGGGCTAAAGCCCGTTAATTGCATTGGTACATGCAAATCGAAGGATTTAGCCTTTAAAAATATATATTATAAATCTACGAAACAGCACTTACTATTTGCCCAATGAGTGTGAAACAAGAATCTGCACTAATTTATCTCGCCTATTCCCATCTCTGATACAGATACAACATCAATGATCTTGCCTTTAAGAATCAAGTGGAGTAGGGGCGCATGGATGTGAACGTTTTTTTTTTAATACGGAATTGCAGCCTGTTTTTGACAAACTAGTATCTCGACACAGAAAACCAAACACAAACACCAGATACAAATACCAAATACAAACAGAAAACAAACAAGAAATGCAAAAATAAAACCAAACACAAAGATACCGAAAACAAACACCAAACACAAACCCCAACCCAACCCACAACAATCACCCTAAAACACAAATATCGAAAAAAAAATACCGAATATCAACACCGAAAGCAAAAGATCAAATGCGATGTGAATAAAACAATACACACGCAACAGCAGGCAAAGATACAATGTGCACAAAGCAATGCGCTAGCAGAGAAAAACCAAAGGTAATACACTAGCAACGGCAGGCAAAGACACAAAAAATGTAAAGCAACAAACACAGAAACCAAATTCCAAAAAGCAAACCCCAAACCAAACACAAATACCAAATTCAAAAACCAAACACAACCCAAAGCAATCGAAGTAAACAACAAAAATAAAAAATCGAGCTACTATACAACAAACAAACAATTGGAGAAACGCAGTAGTTTGCAAATAGAAAATGAAAAACAATGTTGCTCCAACATGCGAGACAACCATACAAACCACAAATGTACCACAAAATATTTACATGTATGCAACATTCTAAGGTATGGACCTTTGTGCACGAACATCGGTAGCACTACATATACTCTAAGAAAATGCATACAAAAACAATCTGTTATTGAACATCTCCACCGACGACTATCTAAAAGGGCACGATGGTCGCACACATTTGTAGCCTAAGATTCGGCGAATGTGGATATGTGAGAAATCTTGCCAGTAGCTTCTCGTGTGGGTGGGGGTCTTCGCGGATTTCCCGGTTTCTTCCTCCACCATAAATACTGGTCGCCATGTATAGCCTATCGTGTGCTGACAAATGGCTTTAAGCTCCAGAACAACAACAATAACAACAACAACAGGAACAACAACAAAATCAAATATTAGTCAACGACGTATACTTGTTTGAATACCTTCGACGCAAAGATGTGTACGTTAATAGAAGCGTTCTCTTTACAACCGGAGATGGTGGGTCTGCCAGAGCAATTGTTGCTGATATCTAGAGTGTGGTGCAGAAAACTATCGTGGCAAACCGTTATGTCCACCCAAACGTTTCTATTTTGGACACATTTGGCTTTGGTAGCAAAGGAGGAAAAGTACTATCTACAACAATGCATATATAATCCGATACAACAAACGAGCTAGATCCGCATGGCAATCGCATAACAACCCCGATTGGAGTACACCAGCAGTTACTATATTTTAGGCAAAGTGGATGTATGCAATATTTCTATAGAAGATTGCAGACGTGTTTGGCAAATTTCGATCGACGACTACGTACTACTCTGCAATACGGTTTACTGTCATTATGTTCTATAACATAGCAACGGACTAACAGAGGGAGGAATATTACGACTGACTCAAAGCATTTGGTTTTATGAGACATGTATAGTAGGAACAAATGTACAACATAGAATATACATTACGGACTCTATTTCGTCAAGACGTTATAATTTAAAAAGAAATAAATTGGTATATTGGTGTTAGTATTTTTGATATATTAGTGTTAATATCATTGATATATTGCTGTTAGTATTATTGGTATATATTTGGTGTTGGTACTATTGGTATATTGGTATCAGTATTATTGACATTTAGATGTTAATATTATTGGTATATTTGTATTAGTTTTATTGTTACAACTTTAATTATCAGACACATTAATCTTGGAATAAATATTACTATAAATATTGAAGTAGTAAAATAGAATTATTATTAGTCTGCAACAATTCAACAAAAGACAGAGAACCATATTAACCCAGAAAACGTGACTAATGTTAATGTGTGCAAGAAGAAGAAAATGGTGTCTGTAGGAAAAATCGTAACGCCACAATCTAACACCAAACTAGAATCCTTATGATATTGTTCGCCTTTTACATAACAGTTACCATTTTCTAAACAGGCTTATGTAGTCTTGAATGACTTGTATGTAAAGTATGTACCAATTTTATATCATGTTTATTTTTGTATTACCTATTATACGATATTTCTATATTCCAATAATAACTATAAGGCGTAATTAATATGCACAGTCTCTTGCTCATGGTTAAAGCCATAAAATATCTTGATAATTAACCCATTTACCTAGTTTTAAAGAAACATAATGAGAAATGTAGTGTACAGACCTATAGAGGATACAAGCTCATCTAATTGGATGTAGTGTATCTCAATAAAATGCGTAGATAGATCCTTTGAAGAATCCGTGAAAACGTAAGCTGTAGGTGGAGCAATATATAACAAGAACAATTACAATAATGTGAATTTAGTAGCAAGGGTAGTAGTAACAAGTTCAGCCAATCATATACAAGATTATCTAATTGGTCTTTTAAAATCTTTTTTATTATCGATACCATCAAGGTGGCAGAGAATGATCTGCAAAGTTTGATCAAAATCAGATTAGAAATATGGTTTTTGGACTGTTGACAAGCTCAGAAAATCAGACGCAAAGTCGTATCATTTATCATTTTGAACCAATTATAAATACAGTCTGTCAAGTAGAAGGTAAGCGAATCATATGTAAGATCGCATGTTAATAAACGTCGATATTGCTTATAGTAATAATATACATATTTCGATGATATAAGCATTTTTACCAATATGATTAGAAATAAAGTCTTGTAAGTGGTGTCAGGATCAACCAGGCTGATGTAAATTAACCCCATTAATAAGCATGGATATGAGTCATGACTCTACTTCTACAAGATTCTTAAGATTTAAGATTATTGAACAAGTTTAGTAAAACAAGGAAGGAATAAATCTCTGGAACAAGTATTATGCAAATGTATCCAACTAATATGCATGGATCTCTCTCATCATGCGAAGTTAAATCAAGTCAGATATTAAATAAATATTGCTTCAGGGGAGGTAAGTAGATTATAAAACCTGTTATAAGATTTCCTCATTAATAACAGTGGATCTTGATCATATGAACCCATATTTCAAGTTTGATCAAATCGAACATTAAAAAACAAAGAAAAACTAACGCACTCAGTAATTTCAAATGAGGTTAATTTATCATTGACGAAAGTAGGGAGAATCACACTTTAATCTTGATATTATAGATCATGCAGGGATACACTATACCATTGTATGCTTCTAGCGAGGTACTTATTCATATACTAGAGCATTGAAACATACAATGTATCATACCAATAAGGTACATGTTGTTATGCTGGATCATAGAACTACAAATAATACCATGATTCCAATTAGGTACGTCTTGATATACCAGATTATAGAGGGACACATTGTATCATACCATGTTTCAGTGTATGTTTGTATGTGTGTGTGTGTGATTGAGATTTTTAAAGTAGCTTTTAACACTTTTTCAGTCATATCGATACGATGTCTGCAGTGTGGCAGTTTTATAGTGATGTATAGCACTGGGGCATCATGCCGCAGACATGTAAGCATGATGTCCCACCCAGTCACATTATCCTGACACCAGGTCGACCAGTCTAAACACTAACCTCTTAATGCTAATCCCCTAGCGAGGCAGCTGTTAGTACCATTTTTGTAAGTCTTTGGTATGACTTGGCCGGGGATCGAACCCACGACTTTTTGCATCCGAGGCAGACGCTCTAACCACTAGGTCACCGAAGCGATCATTCTATGTTTCAAACGAGTTACTTACTGTTAAACTAGATCACAGAGAGATACATTACATCTTATTATGTTTCCCATGAGGTACGTATTGTAAAATTAGCTCACAGAGAGATATAGTATATTTTATTATGTTACGTGTTGTTAAACAAGATCTCAGTGAGATTGATTACATCTTATTATGTTTCCCATGAGGTACGTATTGTAAAATTAGATCACAGAGAAATACAATATATCATATAATTATTCCAGTGAGGTACTTCTGGATATACTCCATCATGTACAGATACATTATATCGTAGTATATGCTTCCAAATAGGCACATACCCATATACTAGAATATTTAGAGATACATTATAACGTAGCATGTTTTCAATGTTGTACATCTTAATGTATTAGAACATGGTGAGATACATAATTAATTATATTATAAAACTATATGTTATATAAATGCGTGCTTCAAATGATTTTCGTCTTGATACACTAGATTTTGGAAAAAATAAGTTATATCATAGAATTATTCCAATGAGGTACGTCTTGATACACTAGGTCTTGGAGAAATACATTATATCATTGTAGGCTTCCAATGAGGTACATCTTGATACACTAGGTCTTGGAGAAATACATTATATCATTGTAGGCTTCCAATGAGGTGCGTCTTGATATACTAGGTCTTGGAGAAATACATTATATCATTGTAGGCTTCCAATGAGGTGCGTCTTGATACACTAGATCTTGGAGAAATACATTATATCATTGTGGGCTTCCAATGAGGTACGTCGTTTAACACTAGGTCTTAGAGAAATATATTATATCATTGTAGGCTTCCAATGAGGTACATCTTGATACACTAGGTCTTGGAGAAATACATTATATCATTGTAGGCTTCTAATGAGGTATGTCTTTATGTACTAAATTATGGAGAGATACGTTACATGCCTGATTCCAACGAGGCAAAGCTGAAATACTGTCTGGAATCATAAGGCTTTTTTCCCCTACAAATAGGCAGTTTCATGAATATCACTAAAATCATTCATATTTATTCTGTGGAGACGCAATGTAAGTTAACAAATATTAGAAATGTGATTCTATCATAGTTAGGATCTATCGGTAAATCTAAGAAAACTTCACAACATTTCATGCATTTGTAAAACTTATCACATTTAAATGGCTACAGTGCATGAATGATTTCTATAAATTTATTTATTTAACAGAAAAATACTTAAACTTAATCAATACAAAATGTATGTTGATGCGAAAAATTAAACACGATATTTCTTGACTGCTATTGTGGTACACACATATATACCTCATTAGAGATATAGCTCATTCACTTGTAGTTTTCGTATTCAGTCCATTGCATATAAATATTAGAGCAAGTGAGTTTTGTTGGTAAGATTCAAAGTTTAAATGTTATTGATTGCATAAATTTTGTCTCCTATTGACATACTTTTGTCCCAGAAATGCATTGCAATTAAAATACAATTAAGCAACAATTTAATCTATTAATTATGATCTTACCGTTGTGTCACTTTTATATTACGTTACCGATGTCGTCGTTATAATCATCAAAATATGCACATTATTTAACATTGTCATTGCATTTTGTTAAAACAAAAATAAGGACTTGCTTTCATCATTATATTCTATTGAATCAACAGGAAAGCCAGAAATGAATTAAATATGTTAATTAACAAAACGTATAAGTTCAGATGTCTATATATTGCGTCTCCCTATTTTTTACTTATGGTATGTTAGTCATTAGGGCGACTTCCTTACATGTCTTCCAAATAATGTATTGTACATGTATGTATACCACCCATAGGTATACAAAGTATGAATTGTGTCATCAGTCAACTATGTGCAAAATTATCTGTCTTTCTTACCTTTCCCATCAAAAGACTTTTCTTGAAATTATTATACTAGTATGCGACTCTAGACTCTAATAAGTAATGTGCTGGACGTTGTGTCACTTTTATCGTACGTTTCTGATGTCATCTCACAAATATGTACAAAAGACGTTGCAAATTCAGCATTATAAGATTCATTACTATTAATCATACTTTTATTTGTACACGAAAATGAATGAAATTTCTGTATAACGATTACATATTCTCACATTATCATGGATACAGTTGGCTTGGTAAGTGAAAGCATGCCGAAGGTTTCAATGAATTGAATGTGTAAAAATTAAGCCTGATTGTCTTACTTTTGCTATGGTCAAGTTATTTTTGTACAGATGTAATTGGAACTCAATTTGTATGAGTGTAAGTGTAATACAAGATATTTTAACGATAGCTTCTGCGCATTATCTGGACTTGACTGGCAATTTTTTTTGTATGTTGCCATTCGATATCTAAAACATGACGCAAACCTAACTAAAGGATGAACGTGATGCAACTCATAATACACAGGAGTAGGATTTTAAAATTTTAGCTTTACGTTAACCTTGCAAAATGAATGCATCTGAACAAAATAATGCAATGTAAGGCCATTTCTTCAATACTTCTGTGTATTTAATCTATTAATGGGCAGGAGTAATTCTGAGAGAATGACAAACATCACATGATATTATAGTTCAAATACAACGTGAGCGGAATTGTTACCAAGTTACAAGTGCAGGAAAATATTTTAACATATAAATTTCACCATAACAAGTAATTGTTAACCGTATGGAATCAATACCAGTATTTTCTCAAGGACATACAAGATATCTTAGATGTATCAATCACCCACGCTCAGAGTGCTCATTATTATATCTGTCAGACGTTTAGCCATTGGCTATGGGATTCTTTCATAAAAGTTATGAGAATGAAAACCATTATATTATGGATGTCATGTTTAATCAACATAAGTAGCAATGTCAGTTTGGTTTTATGTTAGTCGAGCTTTTACCTGAACCAATGTTTTCAATACCATAGTATATTGTCATATGTTACATTTAGTAAGTGGGAACGAGAAAACGTTGTTTATGAGGTAGAAATGAGAAAACTTGAATTCTTTACAATAAGACTTACAGAAAATAGGACTTCAATTTTGTTTCAAGGTATCTTTTGCAGACATTTACATTTAAGTCAGCCAGTAACATTTAGCAGTGAGAAAAGTTTGTTCCTCTGTGACTGCAGCCAAAAATAACGGTTCACTTTTAGTCTGTTTATGTTGGACATTTCACTGGATATTTTATATTACTGACCATTTAGCCTAATATTTTATCCCTGTGGGGGATGGTTTTCAAACAATTACTTCAGTTGTTTCCCCAATACAAGCATACATTAGGTTATTGCACATTGCACATAAATTTGATAAATCAAATCAAAATCATTTTGTACAATGGAACAGAATGAATAAGTGGAACTGTGTTCGACATTGCATTTCTTCAAACAAAATGCCTCTTTGTGACTGATAATGCTCAAAATGGAAAAGCGACACATGTTAGGTTTAGAAAGAAAATTCATTCATTTAATGAAGCTGTTGAGTTGAAAGAAAATAGTTTGTTGTGTTTATTTGCCACATTGTCTATAGAGCTCAAAACGTTTCCGGTTTCATGCTGAAACAATTCGATTGGTAGGTCAGAATACGACTTGATAAAATTTACTTTCCTCCCTCTGTTTACAGAAATTGAACCAAAGTTGAAGGACGAAATTGTATTCCTTGGAAAAAAATATATATTTTTCAGTATGACCCAGCAATACAATATTTTAGGATACTATTTAGATCTGTTGATACGCATTCTCAATATAATTACTAAAATAATCGGAATTTATCTGAAATAACTTTCTGTAAATTTGAACTGATCCCAATTAACATTCAGCACATAAAGGCAGACAATGAATTATGCTTTCTAGTCTATGTCCAAAAGACGCTATAATGTTTCAAAAAATATTAAGCGTCTAAATGATTGTGATGCTTAATACTATACCCTGAATTAAATTACAACATCCTGAATATAAAGAATGATATCAAACTCAACCAATCATCGCATTATTATGCATGAATCTCATTCATTATTGATAAGATCAAAACCATAAAGATACAAGGATATGGTTCACGAGGGGTAAGTATTGGATCATAAATATGGCTTTCAGAGCGGTTCAAAGCATAGCCAGTCAGATGCAAGATGACCTCATTTGTATGCGTTAATCTCACTCATTATTAAACTGTTCCAAGATATAATTTACATAGCATATATTCCAACTTGATCAAAATGTGATCAGAGATGTAGCTTCCAACGGGTAACAAACACAAGTTGCAAGGTCTTCTCGTTAGTATATGTGTGCAGATCAAACTCATTCACGATCCTAGTAATATGCTAGTAAGCATATCCTACATGTCTGATCAAAACCAGGTCATAAATATGGCATCCTCAGTGGTCACGAAGTTAACATTTCTGGTGCTAGATCACTTGATTCATATGAACGGATCCCACTCATTATATATCTTCGCTGAGACTACGATGAAGTAAACATATATTTCAAGTTTGAAAACAAACCAGAAATGTGGACTTCAAAGTGTATAACAAGAAAACGTTGATGGGCCTTTGAATGATGGCCCATTTGAGTTTTTAAGGTCAAATTCAACAAGGCTTATGAAGGACACATGCTAAAAATTACTGTATATGCAATATTATTCGTTATTAACACTTCATATTAAAGTATTGAATTAATTTCATCTCAAACAATAATTTATAGCAATAAAAACAGAATCTATCATGATACATTCACGTCTATAGTTTTGAAGATTAGATGTAAATATATATTATTAAAATTAACTAAGGTAAAGTTATCTATCCTATCCATAAGTAAACTTAATATAACCATGAATTTCAAAGTTACTAAAAAGGTAGCAAAAGAACTGCACATTTAATTATGCTAACACATACTCATTTTGTGTATGAACTGAACTGAAGTGATTTTGATCAAGCTTTGCGTAACTATAGAATACATATGTACCTTTTGAATGAAATAAAAACGGAATTAAGCGTAGAGAAACAAATTCAATTTT